TATCCTAGAAATTGACAATCAAAAAAAAAACCAAAAGTAAAAAACACCCAAACGTCAAAAACCAATATCGTGGAGGTGGGTAAGGGGTAGTGGTGACTTCTATTGCCGCAAATGTTTAACTTTTCATACCTATTTTACACATATTCGTGTTTACCAGGGGGGGGATCTGCATTTTCAAAGGGGGGTCCATTGTAACTTTTTCCTTGTTTTAGTGTATACATTTTTTAACCTTGTAAATTCCAAGGGGGGGGGGGCTGACCCCCCCCCCCTGACAGATCCGTGCATGAATTTACATCATTAATAAAATTCAGACTTGTATATAATGAATTAAGCATGTATAAAATAAATATAAGAGGTTCTGAGTTATAGGTCACAGGGTCTGAGAATTTCATAATCAATTTGATTAATACATGTAAATTATAGAATTATTTTGACTATTTCCTTTGAAAGCCGCCCAATATGTAGGAGCGTGTATTTAGAGGCAAACACCTTAGTGCGGGTATTACTGTCTAGTAGCAGCATCTAGTTTCCTACTATTCTTCCTATTATATTGAATTTGATTTTTGTTTCATATTGTACTTGCTTTTACATGTAAAGCGCTTTTGAATAATTCTATATTTAAATAAGGCGCTATAGAACAATAGAATAATCGTGATAATAATAATAACGTAGGCACATCATCTGTCGTTTTACATTTGCACATTTAATATAATAATTTATATTATAAATTACAGAGATGCTAGGATAGGAGATGAAACATGTTTTGAAGTGCGTGTTGTCACAGGTGATCTATTCAGTTCCTTTAAACTAAACCATATAAAGATAACCATCATTCACATAATGGTTAGAGGGGTGAATTGATACAGATTTAATGAGAGAAATCATATAATTTTCAACAAATTAAATTATCACAAAATGGACATCTTAGGAAAAAAGTAATGGTTGTTCAAACTAGAATCTTTACAAAATACAAAAGTAAAACAAAATTTTAAAGGTTCATCAATATGCAATATGCTTTTACATTTTAAAGAAACGAAATCTTAAAGCATGCCATTATATAGTTGATTCATTTTGATTACTACAGTTGCCTTTTTCATGTATAGGTCATTATTACAGAGAATTTAGTGTGAGTATAGTCTTAATCATCTCAAAATATTAATGTTGGGGGATATATAAAAACGAGATAGCGTTTTCTGACATCAAAATTACTTTTAACTTATGTAATTTTAATTTTAGAATTATCCTCTATTTCTGAAACCTACATTTGAAGACAGCAGTACATTCCAGTGTTTGGTAGGGAAATACTGTCATGTACATCTGTGGACTTCAAAGTTATTAACCAAAACCAATTGGTAATTTTTTTAAAGACAATTGATCATTTCTTTCATTAAACCGCATGATAATGCCATATTGACATGATGAGTGAGTATTGAATTTCGTTTGTCTTTTTCAGTCCAGTTCTAAAATCTGACGAAAACTTTGAAAGCGGTGTGTTCATTATTCCTCCATTAAATCAAACTCTATTTCCTTGCATGTATGACGTTGTACTAAGAATGGATCAACCAGCCAACAAATCTGTCTGCTTTTCACTGTAATTACACATTTAGATTTTGTGTCATAAATGTATTAACCATTTAACTTATGTCAAATCTTAAATTCAAACAGTAAAGACCATTTTTAAATTTCTCAATTTAAACTTTTAAAATTTAAAAACTACAAGGGGTATAACATTTTAATGTTATTACAATAAGGCGGATTTCACCGGACGACAGATGTTTTCTCTTTCATGGCATCAGATCCGCCTAGTTTGTTCTGTTTTATTGGACTTTTCATGAGAATTTTGTTGGTTAAAGTAACATTTTACAGATGTGTATTTGAATTCAAATTATAGAAATGACGGAATGTTCACCGAGAAAAGATGCTACATAATTCAATTTTCCTTCTCATTGAGTGGTAAATATTCATTTTACTGAATGCTTTTCTTCATTTACTTTATATCCATTGCTACTTTTAAGTTGCTCCTCTATTTAAACTTTTTCATTGAGTTTCATTTATCAACAATCAAAACCACGATAAAAAGACACCATGAATATATTTTTTAATTTCAAAATCCAATATCATTACATTTATTAATTTTATTAATTTTTTTTTCAATCTCTCTTCCCTAAATACTTTATTTAGGTAATTTGCAGAGGCAACATATACACGAAAAAATACATTCTTACTATCAGTTAAATAAGATATATATTTATGATATGGCAGAAAAATAGTCTTTTAAAACACAGTTATACTAAAAGTAAATCGAATTATAACAATAAAAAATCTTGGCGTTTTATCGAATGCCGATTTTAAAATACTTAGAGAATGCCCCGAAATAAGTTCGTGCATTTCTACGGCCAACTCATGTCAATATTCATCGAGATAAGTTCAATAGCCATTTATTGCAAACTGACAATTTTTCTTAAGTGAAAGGGTCTTGTGCTCAAAAGTCGTGTAGTAACGGTGGATTCTGTGATGGACATGAAGACACAAGGAAGTGTTTTTGCCGAGTGGGGTTCTCTGGTGATAGCTGTTCTACTGGTAAATACTTAGTACATGTACATAAATGGAATATTAATGTCACTTTCCCTCTGCTCTGAATTTTATAAAGAGAAAATTTAGAAAAGTAAAAATAGGACCATTGAGATTGTTCATTTAGTTACCTTATGGTGGATGAAAATGATCCTGTTTACCCATTGGGTCGAATGTTGACTATTTTTTTAAAACAAATAATTAGCCAATTATGTGTACAGATTTTCCATTCACCCGATCAAGACAAGGAGCATACCGCTGGTATTACTAGTTGTCAGGGGATGCTCAATCCTCCTTGATACCTAATCCCATTTCTAAGGTTTTAAAGGTCCGTGTTTGCTCTGCACTTTACTCATAATGTTATATGACTTCTTCATTTGAGTATTGTTCCTTATCTTTATATGTTTCATTATAGAGCAATTTTTTGTTCTATGTTTTCCAGAGTTTGGTATCCCCCAAGAGATGCATACACAGAATATACAATATGTAAGTGTTTTTATAGATTTACTTTAGTTTGAACTAGGCGAAAGACTAAAGGTCCATTGGGTTAACGCAAGAAAAAAAAGCCACTTATTAGTGCATAAAACTGATCAGCTAGGTGTAATTTTATTACACATATTTCTTTTTCTGCTTTATGACAGTTTATCGCATAACATAAGAATGCAAGTGCTTTTATTCTGTATTCGTCGTGTAGGGTAGGGTTCAATTGTTCGTGCTTTGCACAAAAACCATCAGTTTCTGGGGATATTATTGTGTGCATTAAGATTTCTGAAGTTATTAATATGGCATTCAACATTTCGTGGTGGACGTACATTTATGGCTCTCTTTCATATTTCAAAAACAACACAAATAAAACCTTACGTAAAATCAAGGATTTTACAGCATTTTATTATCTTTAAGTATAACCTTTTGTATTTTTATACAGCCTCTGCTTGGAAATGTACTTCTACCAAAAAGAATGAATTGTCCTTTGAATTAGGAGTGTCAAATACAGCTTCTAATTACTGGAAAAACGGGGTAAAATTCTTGATTTTATGTTTTTTACAAAGCGTATTTGAATTTTTTCAGGGTTAGGGGTAAGGGTTAAAAAATCATATCACAAGAGTAATGTAATGATATAAATAATGTGATTTACATAATAATGACATTTGTGAAATAATACAACAGAAATATTTTTGCTTAAAACATATTAGAGAAAAACAATGGGTCACTCTTATACAATCCATAGTAAAGACACTTTTATATTACTTAAATGAATTCAATGTATGGTTTCAGATTTTACATTACTACTAGCACTGACTCTACAAGTGTAGCGGTCAAGGAAATAAAGGAAGCTCGTGTATCTAAGGATTTCCTCGCTACAATAACAGTTGTCAACAAGAAAACTGGCTCTCATCAGCTCTGTGTGGGCATTTCTCCTGATATATACAGGTCAGGTCATTTTAAAAAGATAATTAAGTTACCCTTTTCCGACCGATTAACTAAAATGACGACACTCAAAACTTTTTTTACATTCCAGGACAAGATGTGTATTTTTAATTCATTCCTCTTATTCCGTTAAAAATTACGTTGAGGTTTCCGTAAACGAAACACCTTCTAACGGACCCAATAATATTACGGGAGATGGCAAACAAACATTATTTTAAAGATGGCCTGGTTGCATATCATTTAAAACCTAATTACCTAAATAATGTCCAATAAAAGTGTTTTTTTTTTTAAACTGGAGGTTGGACTTTCTTTCATCTGTAATTTTCATATTTACAAGGTCGATGAGACAAAAGTGTCAAAATATGACCTATGTAACCAATGTTTTTTTTATTGCATTTCAAAAGAATATAAAATAATTAATTTAAAAGTGTATCAGTCTCTTTTGATATAATAATTAAGATTAAGTATTCTTTCCCCATCACATTGAAATTGTGGTGCAGAATACGTTTTGAAAATAAATTACTAAAATCTTTCACTTTGTAGAAAATTCCTATTTTATCTTTAAAGAAAATACCATTCCAATTCCTTTCCATGGCTGGGTCATTATAATATTTTGTTATTAATTTAGGTTCAGATCACTTACTATTAATTGACAATTTCAATCAGCGATATATTTATCACGTGATTTGATATACTCAAATTATGTTAAGCGAGTTTTGATTCAAACTCTTTTTATTTAACAGTATCGAAACAGACAAAGTTTGTTGCAGTATCTCCACCCAGAACACAGGTATAATTCACAAAATCATGAGATAATTAAAAAGTTTCTCTTTACACTGAATTATAGGCTTTTCCCCTCCTTTCCCTGTATGAAAGAAGTTTCATCCCACGAAACATATACCAAATGATAATTTGGTGTGCCACATTATCATCCAAGGTCGCCAGTATTTATTTCTGATTAATCCTGTTACAACCAAAACTCTGATAATGCTCTTTTAAAAACGTGAAAAAAAGGGTTGAACCGACTGCTTAATTTTCTTTTTCTTTTATGCCGTTCTTGTATGCATTACAAACTTTGTATTGTCAAAATAACAAAAATAATATTTCCAATCATTGAAAAAGATACTTAATGAAATGTTTGATAATCTCGAGTTTTTCTTGTATGTTTTATTATTCTAGATTATATTACCTGTGAGGACGTCTCCGTTGACGACTGCAGCGATCCAGCAGCGCTCAATAATATTTGCTCAGATCCAACCACGGCTACATTCTGTAGAAAATCCTGCAATCTCTGTCGTGAGTAGTAGGTTTCTATAGTAGTTAGATATTATAGGAGGATTTTTGATAAATTATGTTTACTTTCGTTTCATATTTTAATAACTCATTTCAATTTTAGACAACATACCTACAACTTTGAAAATACTGACAAGGTATGATAATTTTATCATATATAATATGATGACGCAAAATGTGATTCCTTTTGTTTTGTTTTAAAATGTTAATTACTAACATTTATAATAGGTACCGTACCTTTTTATATTACCTTAAGCAATTATTTATTGGACCATCTCCAACAAATGTGTCACTTTTCACATGTTCTGCAGACATTGATTGCCACGTATTGCTTTATGAAAACGAGGCCACAACAACTTATGGAAAGCATGGAGCAAACAAGATAAGTGAAAAATAATCATATCATTAAATGACCACATAACAAACTTGATAAATACAATGCAAGAACATAAGAAGCAGTCCTATTTCAGCTGGAAAAGTAGATGAGATACGAATGCTAACACGACACTCAAGTTCAAAATATTTAGAAGACAATTACCCAGTAGTAAAAACAACAATAAAATTTACCGTGGGCTCATTTGAGTCCTCATAATGGGCCTTCTTTTTACGAATACCTTATTGCATTTTTTTTTTACATCATACACATTTTCAACGGATGTTAATTAAAAGGTTAAATAAATAAATAACTTTAATCCATACATAACCCTTTCCAAAAAATCTCCCAGAAATTACGGAGATTTTACAATTTTCAAAGAAATAAGCAAATGATTAAAACATGTTATTGTTTCTTTAAGCAATTATTTAAAGGAGTTAAGAAGCTCCAGTTAATTTTAATTTTAAGCTTCTTCCAAAAACTTGTTAAAATACTTTTCTCCTTTCTAACATTACGTCTCTTTCTTCTGGTTTACAGTCCTAGCTGAGGTTTCCGCCCGTCCAGTACCTGGAAGTACTGTGCACATTTTTAGAACTCCTGACTGTGATAACTGTTCCGTGGATGTTCTAATCCATACTTCTATCTCCCGCCCAACACAGAGGGCACACTTTGTGTCGAGGCATCGGACTACAACTCTGGGTAAAAACTGCAAAAAAAATATTTCTTAAGGAACGAATTTATATGGCAAAAATCGATTTGTAAACAACTAGATGCATTTTTTTATTATTCTTAAAACATGTAAAATCTTATAGGCAATATTTTCCTTACAATAACACACTTTCGGTTTTAACGAAAAGGCAGATCTTTTAAAGTAACTAATATGTCTAGGATGTTTTAATCATCATTGCTATTCTAGTTTATTTATTATCGTTCTATAATATTTTGTCTTTGTTATTTCATTTTCATGACTGTTATGCCTTTATTATTCTTTATAACTGTTATTGGTATCATTCTGTAGACTGGACGACCTAAGATGTTACTTTGTGGATTACGAAATACATGGTAAGCAGTTATAAAAATTGTATTTTCACTGCATAATTTGAAAGAAATTAGATTATGGAACAGCTAAAGTAATGATTGAAGTACCTACATTCAATATGATAGGAATCTATTTGATTTTCTACAAAATGTTGTCAAGGGTTCATGGAAATAACGCTGTATTTTTAATGCTTTCATATTTTAAATGATTCCATTCACTTGGTTTCAGTCACGGTGCAAGTTTTTGAGATTTTAGTTATGCTGTTATGCAGCTCATTAAACGTGTGCGAAAGTTATAAAGCAAAACAAAAATCTATTACAAATTATCAAAACGATGTGATTTACAAAAAAAATCATATAATGACCTTCATATTCATTCATAAATCCTAAGAAGGAGGGATATTATAGGAGAAAATTGTAAGATTTTTGTTATGTTTTATTTATACATCCTAGAATATTTTCAATTATCAATTAACTATTTTCATTTATGTCTTCAATCGATTTATCAATGTTTATTTCAAGCATCAAGACGCCAGACCCTGAGTGTTACACACACTACCACATCAACATCTCGACGAACGCTTCAGGTTAACCTTGGAAACGTGATTGGATAATCTAAGTAGTAAAAATATAAACAGATTGTCAATGAAATTAATGATGACACTTTAAGGATTTGAACACTTGTCGTCTATAACAAGGAAAGATGTCATTAAAATGGATTTATAGCTTTTACATGTTTTTCTCATAAATAAATATAAGAATTTCTATTTAAAGATATGATTTATTTGTATGTATTGAAGTTACTGAGATTGACTACGGAATATTCCCTTTACCTAATCAATACAAAGAGCTCACAGGGTTAGGAATGGGGATGCTGACTTGTCCTAAGCACCTGATCCCTGTCGTCCGTGTTTTATGCCTTATTCACATTTTTTGTCTCGTTAATGAGTTCTTCACCTTGTCATGGAGATCGATTACTGTTCATTATATTCACCTTATTCATTAACAGTACGTACAATAAAATCCCATGTATATTAAATTATCCTATCTTTAAGGACGTTCGATCCTGTGCTTTTGAGTCGGTTTTGGTCTGGACCTTTATTTCGAAAATTCTGAATCGTTTTAAAATTTTAACGTTGAAATTTGATTCTACAATCCAAATTAAACTATATCCATTGCAAAAACCGCAATTAAATTCCATTCAAAAAGGGTTAAGCCAGGGACTATATTTTGTGGCGGAAGGTTTTTTTAAAAGAAAATTATCAATTTATCCCTTTTGAACTTTATAGAGTACTGTTAATTTTAGATTCCTATTTTTCCATGCTGGTTGCACACAAGGCTGTTTTTTTTTTTGCAGTGAAACGTGTCATGCGTGTTCTGATATATCTATCAAATTATTTCTTATGAATTCTTTCGACGAATTATGACAAATATAGTAAATATATTCTGAAAGTCCGGGGAAAAATAGAGCCAATTTTAACAGAAAATTGACAAATTTTTCGTAATATCCAAAAATTTACAACATATACCCCCACTTTTGATGTTCTTTTCTGAATATTTAAGATAACTTTGAGCAATTTTAACTCAATAATAGATTTTGCAAAATTCTACAATCAACTGAAGTTTTTGGTATTTGTCGTGAGTTCTTTTGTAAGAAGGGTCCAAGGAGGTAGTCGGAAAATGCTCTTCAGAGCTAATGTTTTTTGTTGATGTAACCGACTTTAAATAAATATTATCTTATCTTATCTTTTAGGTTTCAATTGTTTTTATATTAACACTACCATAGTCTGTTTGCGTTTTAATATGTCTGATCATGCTCCAGACGAGAAAGAAAAAGATTCGTTGCTCTTATATTTCTGCATTACACTTTGTTCGCACATTATGACCTTTCTCCATTAAAAAGAAAATAAAATCATGTATTTCAGTAATACTGTATCGTTTGTTTGTTGTTTAAATACCTTTTCTAGTATCTAGCATCATATAATGACATCACTTGCTGTATCTAAGTGAAGTTCCACACATTTTGTCCGATGCATGGTGCTAATCGCCATAGCCATAAGGGATCTTTATTACACCGACACCTGCCATTGCAAGAGAACTTTAAAAAATTTACGATAAAACACATGGAGATAACGAACAGTATCTCAGATAAAAAAAAATTCATATAACGATACAAAATAGGAGCAGAGCAAACACGGACCTCTATGGTTGTACCATATTTCAGAAATCAAATTAATGGAGAATAAATTCTATTACTTTGAAAGAATTATACCTTCATCACCTGCATAGAGGATTTATATCTCTCAGCTGATTCGAAACACGAACATGCTCTACATATGAACAGTTTCTTAAACGAGAGGAGTTACTAGAAAAACGAGTTGATGAAACAAGAATATTTACATATCCAACAATGTCTTTGTCCAAGATGAAATTACAAAGACTAATCATACTATATTTTTACATAAATCTAGAGGTTCATCGATAGGCGTGGTGAAAAAAATTCAGTGCGGGTCGTGACAGATAGAGACAGAGGCGGTACTAGCTGCACGTGAATTTGCAGAATCAAGAGCATGTAACTGATCAATCGATTGGCTTGCGTCATAATTTTATACACTCGATTGATCACGTCATGAAAAAATTAAACAATAATTCCTTAAATATCAGCGGTCTTTTCTTCTTCCTCATTTCGCAAGTTTTAATTTGGTCGATACGATGATCTTGTCACCAAATACAATTTATCATTAATTCAAATGCTGACTGACGTTTTCATACTGTTATGGGTCAGAATAACCCTAAATGCCAGCAAAGATCAATAACACAATTTAAACTTAACAATAATTTATTTACAGTAATATATAATAAGTATATGAAACATAAAGTACAAACTTAGCAAGAATCTAAAAATACATACATCAGAGTGTCCGTTGCTGCACACAATGTCCCAGTGAAATTATATCCCAGTAATACCTCAATGATGCTTATACGACAATTCTCTCTCTGCATCGAATTGACAGGGTATTTATACAGTAATATAAATCTAGAATATTCTAGAAATTGTAAATACATGATATTACTGGAAAGTTCTGGACATGCACAAAGTTCAAGAATGTTCTAGAAAAATGACCGAACATGTTGACCACTCTGGAATGTTCAAGAAACTTAATGTTACTAATAATATACATGATGAAATAATACAAATACAACACACCTCACAACACCTCCCCCTTTAAAAAGTTTGAATGTCAATGAAAACTTATTTATTAAAACATAGGTACATTAATACAAAATCTAGTATGTTTACGATACTCTTGACAAGGCATCTGCTATAACGTCTTTGCCTTTGATATGTTTAATTGTTATGTTGTATTCTTGTAACAACAAACTCCATCTAGTCAGTCTTTGATTCTTGTTTGACAATTTATGCAAAAATGTCAGGGGGTTGTGATCCGTATATACAAGAATTATGCAAAGTAACATTCAGATAAACATCAAAATGCTGTAAGGCTAACAACAAAGCAAGGCATTCCTTTTCAATGGTGGAATACTTTTTTTTTTG